AACTATAGGAATATAAAGCAGCATCAAACTTTATGAGGTAATGTCTGCTTTACATGGCAGAATGTTAAACAATAAAGCAAGGCAATGATTGTTTAATGTAAAAATATACTGAAGAAAAAGATATTAAAGTGTACTAATATGACTGCAGTAAGTTTAGGAGAGCAATGAAACTTCTTGGGGGAAACTGTAAAATGGTTAAATGAGACTGTGTGACATCATTAAGTTTTTATGTAGGTATGGTTTTGTCAATGCACACCTTGTAGGCAATCTCTTTTTTCCCTTTTAAACTTTATAATCACTATTACAAATGCCCCATTGATCAAATGCTGAGCACAAGATCTAGATAGGAGTCCTGTAATTAACAGTCATGACACAGAAAGTCTGAAAAGGATGACTGCAGATTTTCACCGGAAACTTAAAATTCACCCATAGTCAGTTACATTATTCCCTTTTACTCTATCTTCTGTTACCATGTATTCTAATGCCTGAATTAGGACAACTCCTAATTTTCCTACAAAGCTTTCCAATGCTATACAATCTACTTTTGGTTTTGTTTTCCTTTTAATTCCCCAATGACAGAAGTTTCATATTTCACTCAGACACTGGTAATTAGCCAAGGAAATTATTTTAAATGCCAGATGTCACATATTAAATATAAATACCCTATGACCCTGAATGCAGAAAGCAAGCCCTTTTTCTATATGACTGCTCAATTTAACTTTCTTGAACATAGCTTCTATACTGAAATAGCGTCTTTCTCACACATAACCCCATTCTTCATGCATAAAAAATGGATGTGCCTTCTTAGCTGTAAGAGACATAAAGGTAGTGATAGTTTTTTTTGTATACCATTTGCAAATGAGTTAAAGTGTGTAAGTATACATTCACACTGGTCAAAAAAAAATCCCTTGTTGTACCTATGCTTTCTTCAATAGCAGCTGTAAAAGGCATAACCATAGACACAGGCAAGGAACACTATCTGCTGATTCCAGGAGTCTTTCTCTGTGCTTTCTCATATGCCCTTTCTATGCCATGCTGGTATGTGTGTCTTCTAAACAGGTCCCGATTCAACCACAAATGGGAACGAGATCAAGCACACAAAATGCAACCTCATGCTTTATATTCTTAATTTGAGGCTGTTTGGTTTATTGAATCATGCAGAACAAATGCCTGACCATGCTTCTTCCAAAGCCTACTCTGGCTACAATTGCACAGCTGGGTTTGATTTGCTACCCATAGGAAGGGGGGAGGAATCCCTATTGCTCCAAGACAAATACAGATCTGGGATGTGGCTGAAGATCCAGAATTCCTAGCTATCCAGCATAGGATGATGTGTGGAAAATAAAACACAGCACAATGCAGCCCTTAGGTTTTTGCAGCCGAAATTCACAAAATACCTAGAAAATAGCCCCAGTTTGGAAAGGATTCCGATACCACAGGAAGTGCATTCCTTCCTTCTTGAGCCACATGCAATATCTCCAGCTTCTGACCAGATCAAGGTGTATTCCATCTGGATGCAATAATGCAGCCTAAAAGCAGCAAGGACAGAAACCACCTATGCATATTAAATAAATGAACAAATGAAAGCACCCCTGCTCACAAAACCACAAGTGAAATAAATTTGCCCTTATTACTGACACTGTTTCACCTCTCAATAGCAAGCAAAAGCCAAATCAGCCATCCATGCCATGTACCTCAAGCACAGAGCTTGACATAAGTCCCTGGAAATTGATGCAAGTTCACGTCAGTCATTTCAGGGCTTCTGCCAACTCACTCTCAGTCACACCGCCAATCGTTCTTTAGCCATATAGAAAGGGATTGAAAACAGTTTTATTTTTATAAATTCAAATGGGAAGGATGCTCATTTTGGTGCAGCAGGACAGAGATAGCAAAACAAAAATTAGGGTGAAGACAAGACAAATAGAAAGGATATTGCTGGCAAGAAAGAGAAGTTCTGAACACAGATATATCTGATTTTGATATAAAAAGCTGAATGAAGATGACTGTAAATAGCTATTAATTGCTCACAATGCCACCTTAACTTCCACATATTCTGTAAATTCTTGTTAGTTAGATGGTCAAGACATAATCACTCTATTTTAGGATGTATACTTCTTTTTCTTTTTAATTAACAGCAGTAGGTAGCACTTAAAGCACTGCCTCATGACCTGCATATATCAGTTTTCTGAATGAATACTATCTCAAACAGGGGAGAGAACATTTCTTTTACAGTTAAGGGAAAGGAACAAGACAATAATATACATATTTTTCATGTAGCATTCTGTTTAGAAATATACTTGGAGCATCTTATTAAAGAACACGGGTCAAATACTTGTTTGTGTTCACATTTCCCCTTATGGAGAGGACAAGTTTGGTTGTATTTTTCTCAGGCATAACGAATAATTTACTGCTATAGCAGAAGAGGAAACTGCTAGGGTTACTCCACCTGCTGTAATCTGACGGAACAATTAACAACAAGAAAAATTCTAATATATCTGCTTTGAAAATGTGAAAGATCACCCAAAAGTTTTTAGACAAAAATAAGCTGCTAAGAGCCATTTTATAGACAGTGTATTTTACTGAATTGTTCATCATAGATCTGGTTTCATTCAAGAACGCATGATGTTTTTTCTTAACCACGGCTAATGCAATTACACATTCTTTTCCAGCTTCTCTTGTTACATGACCTTGAATTTAGAAGTAAAAATAGGCTACAGGCCAATGGGCTTCCTTCAGGAGAGGGAGTTGGCTACTCTAACAAGAGCATCAACCTTTACATATTGTAGGAACAGTAGCTGTAGTTGCTCATGCATTTTAGATAAAGAAATAGCTAGTGGTGTGGAGGAAGCGACAGCAGAAAGGACAGTGCATTAGAAGAGTAAGTAAAAGATAAACACATGGCTGCTTTGTATTCTGGGCACTAGAAGCAACTTCCCATTTTCACTTGGGCAAGCTCTTGTTGCAAGTTCTACACAGTGTTTTTTAATATGATGCTTTCTGTTTCCACTAGAATTGCGGGGTCACAAAGTAGCTTTTCACTTAGGCTTGTTTTCTTCAGCATAGATTACCCATCTTCCTCTAGGAGTGCACAGACAGAATTAATCAAACTCTTGTAAAAGCCTGCTGGACTGGGAATTTTGCACTGTAGCCAATATCTCTTCATGTCAGCCTTCTTTTCTCGCTTTCATTCAGAGTCTGTAAAGGGAACATCTAGATAGAAAGCCATGCATGGGATTATGATATGCCTAAACTGCAACAAACACAAAAAGACCCTGTGCATAGAAACAATTTGAATTATTTATGACTCAAATAGTATAAACCAATAAACCTACAATTTCCACATTCATGTACTCCAGTTAATTTTTCAACTAAGTAATTAAACCTGGTCCTTTGATGTTTAAAAGATATAGCAATGATATTTTTGATTAATGAGTTTCACAGTCCATAACATAAAGCTGTGCATATCACATAACTGCCTATAAGCAAATGGGACTGGCTGTGAGTAGCTTAATTCCTATCAATGCCCAGCTTTCAGCAGAAAGCTAAAATCTCCCCAAATTCCATAATTGAGTGCACTCAGTGATGGTTTCATTAATTTGTTCTGGGATTTCTTAGACTGTGAATTCCAGACACATCAGGCCAGTTATGGTTTCTGCACCACCATCTGCTGCTGAAAACAGATGCTCCTGCTAGAAAAAGAGCTTGAATATTTTTTTGTTTTTACCCTTTTGCTTTTCAACCTTAATGCAAGGCAAAACAGTAGGCAATGGTATGTTATTGTGCTGGCAGAGTATTCTGAAACATGTCTGTTCTTTGTGACATCTCCATAAGCTCTCTTTGTTATAGAATGTGGCTCAAATAAATTGACGAGAGCCAGACCAATGAATCAAATCGGTTTATTGAGCAAGCGACAGCAAGCAAAACAGCGCTGGGCGGCCGGGGAGTCTCTGCTCCGCCAACGGCACGCAAACCACTTCCCCAAAGTCACTGGTTTTATACTCTTCTTCATCCAATATACGTGTCACTTCCTGGCGTACTCTGCGTCTGTGTGACCTATTGATAAGCGGTCTCATTCTGCCTCCCGGTGGGTGTGGGGAGGAAGGCTCCTTATCTCCTTCCCCCATACATCGTTTACTTTACCGGACGCCTGCGGTCTATAAGTAAAATGTTGAAGTGTCGTAATTTTCCAGTAACTCTTAAGCAAGCAAGATTTGATTAACAAACAGGAATTTACTCATTACACCTTCATTGATGCCACACGTTACTAAGGAGTTTTTTAATTCACCTCTTCGCAGTTGCTTCTAAGGAGTCCGGAAAGTAAGTAGCTAACAACGCAGAGTCCTTCAGCCAGCATTTGTTATGCAAACTGCATTCCTCAGCCCCCGCTAACGTCCCTAATTACCCGAGTCGTTAATTGGTACAAAGAGCAGCACCTATTCACACACAATGCTTTAGCAGACTAACACAAAACCTGTGTCTCAGAGAATTCTGGGCCGGGCCAAACGAAGGTCGAATACAACTCACTCCACTTGCCCAGCCCCTTTATGTCAGCTGGCTCTCGAGGATTGGGAGCCCGCTTCAGCCTGCCCAAGCAGCTACAACCAACTACAATATCCGAGGCGGTCTTTCCACAGCATGTGATCTGCCGCGAGGCGTCCCCCCACCTCCCTCTGTAGCGTTGGCGCGGGTCACGAGGTATCGCTGGTGTTGCTGACGTCACTGTGCGAGGGAGAGTGAGAGAAAGGTAAAGAAAGAGAGAGAGAAAAAAAGAAAGAGAAAAAAAGAAAGAGAAAGAAAGAGAGGGAGAAAGAGAGAGAGCCTCCTCCGCTGCCTCCTCCTCCTCTTCCTCTTCTTTCTCCTCCTCTTCCTCCTCCTCCTTTTCTTCTTCTTCTTCCTCCTCTTCCTCTTCTTCTTCCTCCTCCTTCTCCTCCTCCTCCCCCCCTCATCATCCCCCCCCCCCCCCCCCCCCCCCTCCCACGCGCCACACTTTTCTCCCTCCTCCTCCCCATGACTACAGCAAACTGCGGCGCCGCCGGTGAGTTCGACTTCAGACTGATTCTCGGGGAAGACGGCCAGCCGGGTCCCGGGCCGCCACTGGGGCCTGCAGGTGCGCTTCTCTGCTGCCGGGGGGATGTTGGCTTTCAGTTTCCTGTTTTCAGCCTAAGCCGTCCTGTCGGGACTGAGGACATTGAAGAAGCCGGGACACTCTAGGCCACCCACCGTCGGTATAACTTTCTGTGGGAAAAGTAACTCTAGAGTGGTCGTCGCGCGGGAGGAGCCTCCTCGGGTGTGGTGCTTTGGAGGGGGGTAGGGTGGTGTTGAGTTGAATCGGATCGGGTGGGCCTAGACCCTTCCCGCACGTGGGCGGCTCCGCGTCCCGGCGCAGGTAGCTGTGGGGACCTGCTCGTGATCCCCCTCGGTGCCGGTTCCGGTGCCCCTGCAGGGTTTGGGTGAGTGTTCCGTTAAACTTGGCACAGGGCACGGAGCGACAAAACTGATGGGTCTGCGTTCGAGACTTGTCGGGGCTCTTGTGATGGAAAGTTTCGACCCAACTGTTCCCCGTACGAAAAGCATTGTACTTACTCCAGTGTGTTCTTAGAAACTTGGAAACAAATGGGTTTCCATTTTATTTTGTTTTGCAGTATTGGAGCCTGAAAATGCCTTTTAGAAAATCCTCATATTTCTTTAAAATGTAGAATATAAAATATTCCCTCTGAATCGTGATGTAAGGAATCAGTAAGAGCCAGCTGTGCTGTGTGTAGCTGTACCAGAGCTCGATGGCTGCGTGCTGTTTTTTCTGACTTACTTGAAATAAGTATTAATCAGTAATGCATTATCTTAAGTCTAACTGGATAGATGATAATGTAGCTCTGGAACATGACTGTCCAGGCTAAATGATGCAGCCATGTTTTGTTCTCTGATTTGGTTGTCTGCGTAAGTTGATGTCCTGGGTTCAGCAGTAGCAGTCATTTTTCTCCTTGGTAGCTGGTGCAGTGCTGTGTTTTGACTTTCGGCCTGGGAACAGAGCTGATAGCAATGTTTTGGTTTGGCCAAGGACTTTGTGAGTCTCATGCTCTGCTAGGGAGGAGGGGAAGCCGGGAGGAAGCCGAGACAGGACACCTGACCCAAACTGGCCCAAGAGGTATTCCATACCACAGCACGTCATGCCCAGGATGTAACTGGGAGTGAGCCAGAAGGGCTGGGAGACTGGAGGGTTGTAGGAGGTATCGGTCGGTGCTTGGTCGGGCTGAGGGGGGCAAGTTATCAGTCGGCTGGTGCTGAGGTGTTATGTTCTTTTCCCTTGTTATTTCCTTTACCATTGTTATTATTGGTGGTAGCAGTAGTGATTTGTGTTATACCTTAGTTACTAAACTGTTCTTATCTCAACCCGTGGGAGTTGCATTCTTTTCGATTCTCCTCTCTGTCCCTCCGGGAGTAGGGGGAGGACAAGAAAGGGGGGGAAGTGAGCGAACGAGTTACCTGACTGGGTTTAAACCACAACAGTTGATTATAAAAAATATTTGTTTGATACAGTCTGTGTGTAATCCAAAGTGAACGCTTGGGGTGGAATTCTTACGAAATCTCGAACTTTCTTGATGCTGTGATTTAGTTTTTACAGATTTCATATAAAGAGAGATTTCCTTTGCCCGTTTTCCAATTTAGTGAAATAGGAAGATGGTGTTGTTGGGAAGGGGGCCTGAATTCTGCTGACTAAATAAATGCATTACAGGGCTGGAAGAAGACAATGGGAAATGTTAACAAATTACAACAACAGTAATTATGACACCCCTATTAGTATTCTTTTAATGTAAAACTAGTGGTCTGAGCTATGTTTCTTTGTCAGTGATAGCTGAGAATGAGAAAACAAGTTGCTCAGAAAACTGGAAATACTAGTGGTACTCAATTCACTTTAATATTTGTATTTTAGTAGCATTCCTTAAAAAGCACTTCAGCTTTTACTCTAAATATAGAGAATTTTCCATGCTTGATAAGTTAAAACTGTTTTTAAGGCAAATTTGAAAATGTGATCTTTGGACCATGACCTATCTGTTTGTTGGAACTTTCGGTAAGAAATCCTGCATCTGTAACTCAGTAATTCCACTGCTTTGCAGAATACTGGAGATGGTCTTGCCTGCTGTGCACGGATGTGGTCTTCAGGGGCAAGGTTTAGAATAGGTTTCTGCCTTCAAGTATCCTATTAAAAGGATTGCCAGAGTTTAGCTGTTGATTCTGCCTTGTGTTTTTACATATGAAGAGCTAGATTGCATATAAGAGAGGATTTGTATTGGAAGTCTTATTAATTTTTTTCCTTTCCCCTTTTCCAAGTATATTAGTTATACGAACAAAAGTTCCTGTTTCTCCCCAAAGCATATACTGAATAATCCCCTACTGCCTGCTTCAGTGTTGATGTCTGTTGTGCAGCAAAGTAAGCATAAGGGATTTTTTTTTTCCTAAAATATGCTAATAATAAAATGCATAGGTCACAGGGGAAGTTGCTGAATTTGATATAAATAATATTAAAATTACTGAGTTTTCCATGATCGTGGAGAACACTTGACACTTTCTCATGCTTCATGCTGTATCTCTAGAAGTTTGGGATTGGCATCCTTGTAAAAGAGGTGTTTAGTACCAAGTTCTTGTGTAAATAACATGAAAATCTACATAAATGCTTTCTTTTATGCTGAGACTGCTTTAGTGTTCTGAGGGTTTTGCTCTTTTATATATGAGCATATATAAATTGGTAACTGATTTTTAATCAAAAGCAAGAAAAAAAGTGAGCTATTATTTCATTTCCTTTAATATACTTTTGAGTTCTGAACTACTAAGAAAGTGCTAGTCCTAGGCAGTAATTACCCTTATTGTGACATTGAAAGGGCAATAAGAGAAATTAAATCAACTGGAATTCTGAGTAGTTGTACAGGACAGTTTTTGTGGGTTGCTGAATAGTAGAACTAGCATACTTAGTTTTGTGCTAAGTGCAGGACTAATGTTCTGCAGTAGTGCTTGTGTGCTTGATCTGGAAGTTGTGGCTTGTGCTGCAGAGGGGAATGAATGAAAGATGTTTTAAGGATGTTGAAAGTCTGTACTTTAATATTGCAGTCTTTGCAGCATCCTTCACTTGGAATCAGAGGGATAGCCTATTTCATACAGCTTGTGAGCTGAAGTAGGAATTTGCTCAGGTGATTTGTAAATAAGAGATCTTCAAAAGTTTTTTGGCTACTTTTAAGTGAAAGTTAGGTACTAAGAACTTTCTGCAAAATCTTGTTCTCTTTTTCTCTGATAGTTTAGTGTCATTGTCCCAAGGAAAACAGAAATTGTCACTTTGATATTGTAGTGCTCAGCACTCAAAACAGGATGTGCAGTTCTAGGTACTATGAGCTTGTTCTTTTTCTGACAAAATAATTTGGGCTCCCAGTGCCCAAAGGAAAAATGCTGTAGAGTACTCGGAAGGGAGCCAAATCTCTTTGTTCTTCTCTTCCTTGCAGAACTGTTTGGTTAGTTGCAGTAGCATCTTACTGCATCTTGCCACCTTATATCAGTTATGTTTGAAATGCCTAAATAAACATTTGAATTACAGTATTGTTCAGGTCCTGTACAGCCTACCAAAATAGATTGTCATGTAACGAACTTTGTCAGTTAATGTATTTGAGATGCCACCATGTTTGGCCCTTTTAATGAAGAGAGTTTGGGGATGCAATATGTGACATTGGAAAAATTGAATTTATCTTTAATATTTTTCTAATGATACCTCCAGTTTTACAATGCTATACAGTATAATTTTGGGAAGTTTGCCTAGAATTTATTAAGCATTAAGCAAGCAAACTGCATTAAGGTCTTCACACTACTTTAAAAATTTCTACTGAGAATGCAATATGCTGTTTAACGTCAAACTGTGCGAAAGAGGAGCAGATACAAGTTGCTGTGATTACCTATTTTTTTTTTTTTTTTGAGGATTCACCTAACTTAACAAATGAGTTTTTATAAAGGTAAGGGCCTTTAAAGAACTTGGAATATGTAGTACTAAACTGGAAATTCAGGATCTTGTAAGGTTCTGTAACATCCAAAGTTTATTTTTTGTTAGTTTGTAAAATGGGGACTAACTTAAAATTAGAAGCTGCAAATGGTTCAATATTCAGAAAATTATTTAATTACTTGGGAAATTCTGAGTGACGAATTATTGATACTGCTGTTTAGAGTCCTGTCTAAAATGTTTTACTGTGACTTAATATTTGGTTAAGTAATACTATTTAGTAATCTTGTTACAGATGAGTCTTACAATCTCTCTTACTTTTCTCCTGAACAGTATGGTATGAAAAGTATTGAAAATATCCCTATCCTGTGATGAATTCAGTGACAGTTCAAAACATTTTTGTGAGCTAGAGCCTCACTCTGGATAAGGACATTTGACCTGGCTTTGGATCTTTAGTTTATTTGAAAACATCTTTTTTTTAATTTTTTTTTTGAGTTTTTTCCTCTCTAGCCTAGAGCTGTTAGTTTACTGGTTTGAGGTTGTTACTGAATATCGGGATTGAAATATACATTTTGCTGTTGTGACTGTCGAAGTAATACCTGATCTTTTCATTTGAAGGTTTCTGTGTCTGACCTGCTTTCTGTGAGCTGCTTGGGCTGCTCAGCATTTGCCTCCTGCCCATATGTTAAGTGCTCTGACTGTTCATGTGTTAAGGCCATTGATTTTTTTTCTTAGTAGCTAGGCAGAGATCTCTGTAGAACTGGCACTATGTACGTGTCATTTAGTTTAGATGTGTAGCAAAAGTCTTAAAACCAATGATTTGTACTGAAATACCACCATAAAACTAGTCTTTATAGCTTTGCCTTGATGGTTAATATGTATTCTTCACTTCTTAAATGTGTGTTCGTGACAGGTATTGCTGTCAGGGATTGCTGGTAGAGAATAGAAAACAGTCTAAGCTATTTGCAGAAGTTTGCAGTATGCTTGAACTTTTTGTTGTTTTCCCTAAGATGGTGATTAAAGTAAGCAATACTAAGAAAGCCAAGCTGTGGTAGGAAAGAGAGTAGGCTCATAATTAGACTGAGTGCAAAATTAAGGGCTGGATGCTGGCAGTAATTGTGAACTTCAGGTGTGAG